TTTGCAGTACATGGCATTAAAATTCCCCAGATTCAGTGAAAAAAACAAGCTCTATTGAAAATCGGATAATTTAAATAACCAAACCGGTAAATAAGTAAAGTAACATTATTAATTAGACTTGACTTAATACGCTCGGAAGACACATCCGCTCTTTACCAATTCCTCTGAGGAACTGAACAAAATGACAAAGGGGTACAACACCGGGGGCCTCTGGTGATGTGGACATAACAGGATCTAGTCATTCAACTCTGTTCAGACCCAAAAACCAAGAGCATAAAAATCATAGCCCACACTAGTCAGAGGTTTCGTCCATAAAAATGTTCTTCATACCCATGTGTAAATGTAGAGAAAAATATGAGATTAATTTTTGCCTCGTATCATTTCAACTAGAAATCCAACATGCTCCACATAAAAATCCTCCGCCGATAATAAAGTGGGACATTTTTGAGTAATTCACGGGTTTTGAAGCGTTCGTGTAACCACTGTAATACCCTCGGTTTGTTAATAAAGTGCACGGTTGCGTAGGTGTGTTAACCATATCCATCAATGTGTGCGAATAACCCGAGATATATGGATACACACATCGATATACACAACACAGTGAAGGCTTTGCCAAGTATCAACTTGGGTGGTCCGTTGAAGAAGGGACCGCACGCGGAGCCTCAGTCTTTCCCCCACCATAAAAACGTTGCCGGTTATCCCCACCATTTAGCGGCGCGCGGGGGCACGCATATACCGAGAGGATCAAGCTCCTTGTGTCCAGGCCACGTATCGTCCTCTGACACGCATCAACATCGTCATACAAAAACATACAAGCACATGTATGTGTGGAGCTCCCCCCACCCCGTGAGATCACTGGAATATCTCTCAATCTAGCTGGCTTGAATTTTTCGGGTGGTGTTTAGCCCAAACTGTACATTCAGGGGGGGGGGGCATCGGTTGCCTGAGAGATGATGAAGAAATAAAAAAACGAGGTGGACGTAATGAATGACAGATATACATCGTATTATTGGGGGTATGCAACTGTTTTACATTCTGGGGGCATTGTCTCTTCATTCATCTCGTTTTTAGAGCTTTTGTTTAGTTTGGGATCAACTTTAGATCAACTTCAACTTTTGGGTGCGTATTCAACTCTCATGACAATAGAGTGGTTTTGTAACTTCAACTTCACTGAAGGTCAAGCACACCAGGTTCTGCGCTAGCACATTATTATTTAATTAAGAATGTTCTGCTCGGGTATTTCAGAGGAAATTAATCGTTCGACGATTTATTCAACCCTTGAGTGAAATTCCAAATGAAATTCCCATGGTTCAGTTCACTCGATATTTAATTGGGAGAATTTCTTTGAGTGGATACCCCAATTGTTTTTTATGATGATTCAGTAGTTTGAGCAAATGGTAAATGTCACAAAAGTGTGATGAGTGGGGTAATCCTCAAGGAGCTATACTATACTGATTGTATCGAGACGTATTCAAGCAATCGTTCACACGCTTTGACAACGACAAGTTGGGCCAATTTGTAAAGAGTAAATTGTGTGCATAAACTCGTTTAATTAAAATGTATTTGGAATTTTTTATTATTTATTAGAACCCTATGGAATATTTAGACCAGTTATTACATAAACTAGTTCAACTGCAAAATATGACAATATTTATTTTATTATTTTACTTTCTATTTTAACTAAAGAAAAGCTTTTTCTTATTTTACCTCAATTTCAGTTTGAAATGACTATTTCTGGACGCCAAGTAATTGTTAATTGCTACTAATTCGTCCCAAATTACTTGAGGGAGTGTACCGTCAGCCAGAAATGCGATATTTCACGCCCGCAGTGTAGCCTTTCCTCCATTTGTTTTTTTTCTTTCACCATTTTTTTCACGTTCCCACTGGGTCTTTTATGATACATTTTTTTTTATTCGAAGAAGGGGTATCAAACACGCGGAACGTTCTGTGGATATTATAAAGGAACTTTCAGTCGAGGAGAGAGGTTTATTTTGATTCGGTGTAGCACGCGGAACGACGTTTTACTCAATAGTGAGTGAGAAAGATGGAAGGGATCTTTAATATCACAATTCAGCATCGGCGATGAATGGTAGGCAATTGCATTTCACATTTCACCGGAGCCCGATTGATTCGCCTTCCTTTGCAATCTCTTTTTCACTCTTGGGCGGACTAATCAATGGCATCCAACGTGATACCTCTGAGGGGAATGAAGTGAAGATATATTATTGCACGATCACGGAAATTTTCCCGTTTAAATTGCCCGTTGGGTGGGGAATTGAGTGATCGTTAATCGCTGGTTGAATATCCAATACTTTCATCTCATTGATTATTTGCTTTTATTGTTGGTCTACTGAAGGTGGAGGTGAAATTTTCAGTGGAATCTTATTCCAAGAAACTTGATACCCTGTTGATCTAATCCTACTCAGCTGAAAATGATCCTACACATGGCATCTGCGGTTTGTTATGTGGAAAAGACAACTTTTCGATACATCATGTGTCTCACCCGACAGGACAAATATGATGAATAAGATTAATTAAATAATAAGGATTATAAATGTATTCCGGGGGGGTCTGGGGAGACGAATGGGGGGAGGGAGAGAGCAAATGGATAGATGACACTCGGGTGGGTATATAATTTTTATATACCCGAGGTGTTAGTTATTTATCATGTTGGGCCGCTGCAGTGCGCAGATGCGGCTTTGGAATGCCGTTTTCGTACCTGCTCCTTCGGACTTGTGAGAGAAATGAGAATAGATATTAGTCTTCATCTGGGAGCAGTATTTGTTGATGTTAGTCATCTTGTGTCAGAAAAGATGACGATGAGGTTAAGGGGGAATGAAGTGTTTGCAAATACGCCATTTGCTAACTGACGGAGTGCAGGAGAATAATTTTCCTCGTCCCAAATCATGATTTCGATTGAAAATTACAGTCGCACAGTCGTTTCAATTCCGATAAATTATCAAAAAATGAAGATTGGAGGTGAGTGAGCGGTACTGGCCGCATGCAGCTAATACCGCTCAGTCTGATTCCTATATCGATGATTCAATGACATGAGTGGAACTCAGATTTTATTTGATAAATTGAAATGCATGAGAACAAAATTATATTGTGAAAATGTGAGAATGCTACTTCAATCATTATTCCATGTTTTTTTGAGGGAATAATAATAAAATATTACGGCTCTATTTCGTTTGGACATTTTATTCTCTTTTAGAACAAGTTATACATTTGAATATTTGTTCGTTATAACCATCCGGACGAGTCACCTAAACCTCTGAAACATTGTATTGACGGCTCATATAGAATGTCACAGCCTTTTTCAATTTCAAATTCTTCTTTCATGATCCGAAAATATCTCTTGAAATAGATTTTCGTAAGAGGAATCACTAATTATGCTGCGCTTGCGTGATTTTTTCCGGCCACAAACAATTGCATACGTAAGCTGTCAGGCACTGAGCGGTATTGGCCTCGAATCGAGCGGTGTTAGCCACACTGGCTGGGCGGTATTGGCGACATCGCCCGAATTTGAGAAAACATTCTCTAATTATTCATTGAAAGGTGAGAAAAGGAGATTTCGGTGTCCAATGGTGTGAAAAAGAATTACAAAGCGATTGATTATAATTTTATGTGATGATAATGCTATTATCGTAGTGTAAACCTTACGTACTGGCGCAGAAAAAAATCATCGTAAGGCCCTAAAAATGCTGGAGTGCTATTTTTATTATTTAAAGGAGTGAAAAAACGAGAATTTTCCTGAGAATTATATACTAATAGTGGAGTTCTCAGAGTAAGAGATAGTATGAGAAAAGTAAGTGGTTGTGGAGAAAATTAGGTGAGCGGTATTGGCTACTGAGCGGTACAGGCATCGCCTCCCCAAACAATTTTACAATCTCTCAACGAATTTTTTAAAATTTGTCTTGATGAAACATTCAGAACATTTTTTTTAGTTATGACGCGACAACCGATTTAAAAAAAAAAACAATATAGAGATCACATTTTAATTAATGTTGATGGACACGGCCCATCAAAACCTCCATTAGAAAAAAAAATCAACAATAGTTTAATATAACGTCGAAAATCCAAAACCTAAATTGAAACGATTAAAATGCATCCATTCCGAAGCAAAAAAATTGCTCGACGATTTCCCATTGAAATTTTCGGCGCAACTTGAAACATTCACGATGCATCTCGATAATGGCAACAACAACTGTTCTAAAAGGGAGCAGACTTTGTAATAGAAAGCCCACCAACGTCGTTATCTTCGGGTTTCCTTTCATCTCAAGAATGGTAACAAGTACCTATCACCTTCGGATGTTGGTTTTATACCGACTCGTAAACTCGCGCTTAGTTATCACATGATCACGACCCGACGACAGGTGCACTTCCGCTCGTCGTGTGCCTCGTTTGTCCTTGCTCACTGTTTTCTTTAAATAAATACTCTTTGTATTCAAGTGCAGTAGACCCGCTGACATGGTTACTTCACGTTCAATCATACCATTAACGACGCATTACCAAAAACCATTACGACACAAGCGCTTCGATGATGAGTATAAAAGTCATGATTGAGTTGGCTGAACTTTCACGATCGAGAATTATTAATTGGGACCAGGTCTGTATGGAGATTATGGGATCACTGGGCCCTCCGTACCGCCAAACTCGACCCGGCGAACACGCTTACTTCACAATTGGACGATTAAGCAGAGGCAGCCGATTACGGAGATGCCATCGGCGTCGGCGATGTATAGCCGTGCGATACATCCAGTCACGACTTTCTTATTATAAAATAGGATTTCTTTGGAGATAATCAACCGTCAGCTGGACATTACCGGAGATGGAAAAAAAATCCTGAATTATTGTGGGAATGGCTTTTGCTACTTTCGTCCCATAATTAACGTGAAAAAGCTAGCTAACGAAATGAAGGACCCCACTGTTTTCCGCTGTCAATCGTTACACGTCAATTCCCTCGAACATTAATGAAAATAATCATCGTGTTATCTCACCAGAGGATGGCCGATCCGAGTATCTCGTGCAGTAAACCCAGGCTGGCCACAGCATCGGCTTAGATGTGTCAGATCCACTGCTCGCTGATGTACCATTTAACGCTCCTGTACCCGAGGTCGTTGTCACTGGCGATGGATTTGTTACATTTGCCGATTCAGACCCCCTGTCTGAATTTTCCGAGGACGAATCGAGGAAGTCTTTGGTGAGATCAATCGGCCGATGAACAACTTTCTTGGGTCGCGATTTTTTCAACGATATCGGATCTGTTATTCTCCTTCCAAAATCAGCTTTCAATATATTGTCTATACTGAACTTCAAATTCCCTTGAATATTATCGTTATCATTGCTATTATTGTTGTTGTTATTATTGCTGTTGTTATTTTCGTTGCTATTGTTGTTGTTGTTATTTCGATGATGACTATTGTTGTTGTTGATTTGAAGACTATTGTTTGCGGGTGAGATATTACTTCTCATTATTGTGTCATCGCGAATGGGCGATACTGGACTTGATGACTCCCTGATTGGTGAATTTTGAAGTAATTTACTGACGGACAATCTGTGCTGTACCTGGTGATTGTGTTTATGAGATTGTGGCTGATTGTAATGAGAGAGCTGATGATGATGATGATGATGAAGTAGCGTTGTCGCTGGTACATGCTGCACTTGCGATGACTGATGAATGAGGGGATGGGCCGCTGTGTGGAGATGAGCTGAATGAGCAAGTAGGGAGCTTTCACGACAATTTTGATGAAAGCCTGCTGGTGGGCCAGTTGCCTGGAGACCATTGACTGTTGTACTCGATGGCGGTGACAGGGAGAGTCTAGTTGCTAGTGGAAGGCTTATCGGTGTTCTGTGCAGTCTCTCCACACTTTGATATGGTAATTCATGATTCAGGGGTATCTTGGTACCGGACGGATAATCACCGAGATCAGATTCACGTGTAAATCTTGTTAATAAGTGTTGGGAGTAGGATTGATGAGCTGTTTGGTACCTTGCCGCTATGATTCCCTCTTGAATCGTATCCGATCTGCCGGGCGATGAGGCAGTGGCACTCGATGATGCCGGTGATCTTATGGACGAGGCCGTTGGCGATGATGGGGCCAGTTGGGGGCTACAATAGCTCGCTGGGCTCTGGGGAATATTGCAACTACCGGAATCGTTGGATGGCGATGGCGATGGCGAACGCGACGATACAACACCTAATCTACGCTCCTCTTGGTAATCCAATCGTGACAATGGATTCTCCAGGTATCGCGCTGTCTCGTAGTCCTGCGGCTCGACTACAACACCATCGGTACCTGGTGTCGGCTCACTGCCGACGCTCAACACTTCGCTCGTCTCACTCTCACAGTCCGACAGATCGCGCTCATCTTTCTTGGATTTCTTGATTCTCTGATCATGATTTCCCTCGGCTCGAGATACCACACGGTGATTCACAATCTCCATATCGCGTTTATCATTGATTCGCACACTAATTCACGGGTCTCGTCATTTTTCACCCCCACCACGCCGTCATTATTTGTCATCTATCAACAATTTGTATTTTTTTTTTATTTTGTACCTTTATTTAACGCTGAGTATTACAACACTTTAATGAGCAATTATATCACAGTTGCAAAGCATGTCCTTAAGTTTTAATCATCAATCGATTTCATTCATTTTTGAGGTTCATCGTAATGTTTATTTAATTACTACTCGGTAATCGTGATGAGTCACTTTTATTGATTCCATTCTTCCTGCCCTGGGTGAACACTTGTCAGTCACTGTCGAATCACATTTTTCGATCGATCGGAGACATCAGGGAGCTGACAGCCTGATGAACATTCCAATGAAACACTTCACATTTGTTATCCACTCGCGACTCAATATTGTCTCAATGAGTTAATTGTTTATCACCTTATCAACGGGTAACGCCGCGGTAAAACCCGGCACTTGGGGTGGATAACAACGGTTACACAGAACCCGGCACGTTCGTTGCTGGTTGTCTACTTCGTTGTCGCGACGCGTCTGCTGCTAAGAGACGGTGGAGGGCTGGTCAATGGGCGTAACTAGGCGTTAACAAAGCTCACACCGCCCATTTGATTCCCACCAGTCTCCATCGGGTGATAAGTGATAGCGGCACGACATCTGGTGGAACCGAGGGAAAGTCCCATCGCTGGACCGCCTACCAAATCCCATTCATCTCCTTTCCCAGTACTTGCTTTTTTTTTCACGAGCATTCTCTCTTTCTCGGAGGATTGGTGTACACGATGGACCGGTAAGCCTAAGACCTATTTATAGACAGAGAGATGGCTTTCGAATACGCCACTTCTGTTTGAATTAAGTGAGAAAAACCAATAACCCCTGTTGGCGCTCTGTACTCGTCCCTAGGGGGAGGGGGGCATGGGACATGTCTTCGGGGGCTCGGTGTCCGTTTCAATTTGTTACATACCAGTGGTAATTCTTTTTGCTGCCGAATGGCATTGGATTTGGAAAATCCGAAATTTCTATTTTTTTGAGGCAGGATAACCAATTTTGGCTAAAGGAGTCAGAATATGGTATTTTAAGACTATGTCCGGAGGTATGTACGTGTGTATGTGACCGATAGTTTTTCGATGACTGGAAAAAGGATTTTTTCAATTAATCCAATTGAGGTTTGAAATATTCTTCCCAATGCCATCTTGAAATATTTTATTTTGAAACCGATATTCAGGGAAAGGTAAAAATCCTAATGTTAGGGAAATGTTGGCTGCCAACGTTGGGGCAATGTTGGCTACCAACATTGGGATAATGTCGGGACAACGTTGGGGAAATGTTGGCCGCCAACGTTGAGGCCATGTTGGCTGCCAACGTGGGGGCAATGTTGACTGTCAACCTTGAGGGAATATTGCCCCCACGTTGACAGCTAACATTGCCTTAACGTTGGTAGCCAGCAATGCCCCAACGTTGGGCCCGAATATTGTCCCTACGGTGACCGTCAACATTAGCCCAACAATGGGGCAATCTTGCCTTCTAACCTTGCGAAAATGTTGGCCACTAACGTTACGGCAATATTGAATTCAATGAATTACTGAATTTAATTTAACGTACATTCTCACAGAAATTCCATTCGGCAGCAAATTGCCAATTTATTAACAAAAATATATGAATTATGTTATGACAAAACCAATTCCCCACTTCAGTTCGTCCCGAATCGGTACTGAGTGACGCGGCCGTCATTCCGTCGGACGGAACCTTTACCTTTACCACTTTTTTTTTCTTTCGTTTGCGTTACATTGAATGCGATGGTGATCAAACTTCCTATCAGAATGGATAATCACGGGAGGTACTCATCGGGATTAGAATCACACCAAAGTGCTCAATAATTTCTTAATAATTAGCTGGATATAATGTGAAATCATATTTTTTTACGCATCAATGTCTGTCTGAATTCGCGCGGATTCATATGAAAAAATGATTTTTCTACGGAAACTGTCCTTTTGTGACTTTCAGATAATAAGTACATTCTCTTGAAATTATTCGCTGATGATGATGCGCGCATCCACTGGCAGCTGGACGAGTAGTTGCTGGAAGGTAATTCCTGGAAAGGGTCGCGTCCGCTAACGGGTCACTGTCGGTAATGTAGATTCCTGTGAAGTCATCTTACTTTGGAGTTTATTCGGATGGAAATGCGATAGAAATAACTAGAAAATGATTCATCCATTATAAATAATTCTGACAATTCACGCAAAAATTGATGTTTTGTAAATTTTAAAAAATCCATTCGGTTCACGGACTTTTCTTTGACAACAAAATTTCCCCGACATTTTTCCCCCAAATTTTCCTCGCACCATTTCTTCCCTTTCCATTTTTTCAATTTTTCAATTTTTTCCTCTTACATTTACTTCCGATTCTGCCAATCAACGTCATTTACAAGGGATAAAAAATCAGTATTCAATTTCTATTAATAATAATCCCCAGTGGATGGGTATAATATTGCCAGTAAACAAAATAAAATGCTCCTACAACAGTTGATAATAACGTTGAGAGGGGATAATCCTTTCTATTGTGAATGAGCGATGAGTCTGTTGCTAGAATATGCTAGGTGGAAACGGGTTGCTTCAGACTTCAATAACTATATTGGATAGCTCACCCGTTTAAGCCACCTATTTCTCTGTAAAGGGCATCGAAAATGAATCTTTTTTGTCTATTAGTAATTATATACCCACACACACGTCATGATCAAAGGAAATTAAATATTCAATATTATTTTTAGCTTGCGAATGGAAGCTCTGTAATCGCTCTAATTTGAGTTCCCAATTTTTCTTTTGGGGTCCTTAAAAATGGTTTATAAAGTCTACATATGCGATTTTTAGTACTGCGACGTGAAAAAGTAGAAGAGGAGAATGTGAAATACGAATTTCAGAAAAGAGAACCCATTTATAAAGAAAAAGCAATTGTCCACTTGTTTTTCTTCATAAATAAAATTGCTGAAGGGAGAATAAAAGGGGAAAAATGAGTGCAAGAAAAAAGGAGACAGGCATTCATTCACATTGTTCGATAGGACTCACTGTCTAGAATGAAAAATCACGGGAGAATGATAGCCGGACGGGTGGATTTTTATTTCGCTACATTAACTTCACATGAACATCGGTTATACATAATAGTGACCGAAATCACTCACATAATGTAGCTCATTCAAAATACACACAATGACTGATCCCTAGCTTCACAGTATGTTGAATAATTCGAATAGACGCTGATTGATTCTCCTAAATCCGGGTAATGAGTATCATGCTCTTATAACGTACGATATCTCGACTAGATTTCTCATTTCCACGAAAGCAAAACACGGCATTTTCAATGGGGCATGGCCTAACGATATATTCGTATTCTCTTGATTGAAATGACATTTAAGACTAGATGAGCGCCTGAAAAATAGTCACTTTCTGATTGAACGTCATTTACAATCTAGTAACAATTTGACAGAGCTGTGTTATTGGACCCTGCGAAATGTTTCATAGATGACTAGTCTGTTTGAATAATTGCATGTTTCATCAATTATGAGTGTAACCACAGTCCTAACACTGACGTAACTAGGAGTATTTTCAAATATACACATATTTCGACACTGGACCAGCCGGTGTTATACATATACACTATTGTTTAGTTAGGATTTGTCTTTTAAGAACGTTTGGCAGACTTATATGTGGGAAGGCGGGTTAAAATGACAGTGAGACATAGACGGTTAACGTACTCTAATTTTATCCCGCTATTCCCTAGGTGTGAAGACATCTTCTCAATGCACGGAAAAAATACACTTGATTAAAGGATATTTTATGCTCAATTGGGGGATGGCTATTTCAATTCGAAGATGATTCTTTTGCATCAGGCCGGGTTGCAGAAAGCCCTCTCAAGTGTAGTATAAGGGTCAGGCAATGAGGGTCTAAATATAAGTCATATATTATGCTGCATCACTTTTTTTACTTCTATATTCTGACCCTAATTTTTTGATCCTAATATTCCGACCCTCATTTTTTAACCTTCACTTTTTGACCCTTATAGTCTCACACTTGGTGTCTGACCCTTACATTACACTTGAGAGCGCTTGGTACGACCCGGGCTGACACGAAGTAATCGTCCTCGAATTGAAACACCCGTCCCCCATTCGAGTATGAAGTATACTTGAATCAAGTTCTTTTTCCGTGTGACTAATGCTCTCAGCTGAAATTCCTGAATTTCCTCAAGTTTTGGCTCTCTGGTGGTGGTGTAATCTACATTAGACTGCAGAATGCTACGCCGTCCTCGAAGGCCGATTGAATGACAGTGGTTTCCATGCAGAATGCCCCGTCCTCGCACATGGTTGCAAGTCTTTGTTGGTGAGCGCGGCTCTCGCTTGATGATCTGCCGGCGATAAAAGTGATTAGGGTGCATCACAAGAGGAGAAAATATTTCTTGATTGCAACGACATGTCACCTGCGACTCATGGCTCGTAATCTCTGCTGCCTGACGTGCTTCCTGAAGATCATGTTGGGATTCGTCCCGTTGACCGCATCCCGGACGATGTCGGTCTGGGACTGATAGACATTATGGCCGTTACTGTTCGGGGCTGCTACTCGCGACGAGTGTTCTCGCCCTTCAGGCCGATTTTCCAGGGAGTCCCAGGTGGAGAGGGACCACGGCGGCGGGGGGGTGTGCGATCGCGAAAGTGTTGCGTATTTGTGGCATAAATAGTCTTCATAGGAGGGCGGGAGTCCAGTCTGCGGGCGACGCCAAAGAAATAATACTTTATTTTAAGATTTCAATTAAATGTAGTGGAATAGGATTTTTAAAGGCGTTTATTTGAAGACGGAAAGTGTTGAGTTTAGAGGTTCGAAAGTCTGATTTTGAGACTTTTATAAACTCAAGTTTATATTTTTGAGGGCTTCAAGTTAAAAATTTCGGAACTCAACTTGACATTTTTTGTTGAATGGAATTCTGAAAGTCTCAATTTCCCAGGTTCATAGGACAATAAAAATGACTGAAGATCGTAAAAAATCAGGCAACTTTTCTTCTGAATTTTTAGTGTTGAAAATTCAATTGAACGTATTGCTTAATTTTCACGACAGGTTGGAAAATCAAAATTGTCTTGAAAATTCAACGATCATTCATCATGATAAACTTAATTTTATTGACTTCCCAACATGAATCAGGAATTCCGTGAGCAATTTAGTTTGAAATTGAATTCAATGAGAAACAATACAATTTTTTTATTTAAATACAATGATTAGAAAGGCGCACTTGGCCGGTTTTTTCAAATCAGGAATTCCATGAGCAAGTTTGAAATTGAATTCAATTTCACAATGTCAAGAATTCAACTGCATGTTACTTGAATGTCAAAAAAATTCCAACAGCGAAGAGATTATCACAGAATCGATAAAGGAATTCCAGTCGAAAAGATCAGTTCCCCCGGCGGCGAGCCTCATTGGCGGAACCTCGGCGCGAGATTTAAATAAGAGTGTTCCAAGGGTGAAGTCATAAGGACTGGCGGTGCACGCAACGCGTGCGCGACAACCTACATTGCCCGATGGAAAAGGGAATTGAAGTTACATCCAAACAACACAGGAATTCTGACCTGCCATGACTTGGCGACTGCGACGTCATACGTGGGTGGGGGCGATGTCATAGAGGGGATCGCGTATATCCGCTGGCAATTGCGAGACGGTACATCCGGAAGAACACTGTAGGTTGGAGTCGCATTGGCACTGCTTTCGGGAACCATCGGGGAAGTGGCGTAAGCGACCACTTGCACCTCATCCCTGCTCGTGTAATCGTCAGAATCTAGAAATGACAACCGATCAAATGCCCAGTGATGCCGCGAGAGAATTTACGAGACATTACGAGACAATACTTCGGAGGAATTGTCTCGGTCTCAGTGAACAGGGAAATTTTTGGTCTCGTCTCAGTTTCGAAATACGACAGCATCTGTCATGACTCCGAGTCAATTTATCTCACCCCGGTTTCCAGTTTTTTGCGCTTTTTATGTATAGAAAATCGACACGAGACAAAGCGAGACAAAAACCGAGATTGTACATTAAAAATACGAAAAATTTGAGACCGAGATGGGATAAATTGACTCGGAGTCATCACGAGGGTCGAGACCAAAGATTTCCATGTTCATTGAGACCGAGACCATCTCGCCAAAGTATTGTCTCGTAGTCTCTCGCGGCATCACTAGAATTGCCCGTCCAACGAGTGATCCCGCATGATCGGCGATATTATCTACCGATGTAAACATAATGAGATTCAGAACGCTCAGCGCTTCTACTTCTCCGCGAGGAATTCGGCCTCTTCTTCTGCTCTGCGTTATTTTTCGGAAGTCTCGTCTGCTGGGGAATCAAACCGCTGCTGCCCGTGTCGGACGCCCTCGTTTTGCTCCTGTTATGCCGCCCTTTAATCTTCTCAGTTTTTCTCGAAGAGCGAACATCGACGGCATTGCCATTCAACGATTTAGGCTTGTCCGCCGTTACATTGGATAGCTCAGTCCTAGAGTCCGAGGATTTTAAGGGCACACTACAGCCGCAGGTCGGTGTGTATCTGTTAGGCATTCTGGAATAATGGAACAGTTCAGTCCAGTCTCCGTACAAGCTACTACGCTTTCTGGCTTGAATGTTTTTCGTTTCGCATTCTCCGTACGCGGTGTTGAAATTTTTTTCTGAATTTTCCCTGCCAAATTCAAGAATTTTTTACCGGGTTCGGGTTCAAGTCATTGAAAAATTAAATATTCCGTTGATTTTATGTTCAAAAGATCTGGAAATCAATGAAATAGTCGATTCTTCAGGTCAATTATTCTGTGAAAATTCAGAGAAAAATAGAAAATTCATGTCATTTAGACAAAACAAAAAAGAATTCAACCCAATTTTTATGAAACCCAAAATTCCAATGAAAGTCTCAATTTTTTCTGGCAAGCCCCTGTGCGTAAACCAACTTATTCCGAGTTTCTAAATTATTATTCTGAAAAACAACAACACCATCTAATCAAACATTCGTGTCTCACATCAGGAATCATTCTCAAATGATCATAAAAAACCCAAATCGTCTAGTATCTTGTCCGAAGAAATACCAAATCGAAATATTTTCAATTCTTAATTCTCCCAATTCTATTCGCCCCCGAGTGCCTGTGGTATCTCGTAAGAAGATTGGACCGAACCCAAAATGATCATTCAAAATACCACTTGACCCGCTACTACAAGTTGACAAGGTTCGCGCTCATCGGTTAATCTCACCCACGTGATAATTCCCGATGCAGTTTATTGATTTCAAAAATGGGATGCCCGCTCATTATTTTTGTCCCCTCTTTTTTCGGTATTACGGACGTTGTAATCACCAGATACTTACACCACAAATATCATGCATATGCAGTACGCATGTGCCACCACGTAGTAGCACCGAGATGAATTAATCTAGAAGGTGCTCTAGCTTTACTCCGATGTCAGCTATTCGCATCTCCCATGCAACGATACCAGCAAAAAATACTATTGTTAAATGAAGACGCTTTCATAATCCACAAAATACTAACTAAAAACATTGCGACGAAAACATAAATAAAAACACAGGAATTAGAAACAACAACAAAAGAACGACGCGAGACGTGGAAAAATAACAAAAACGCAAAAATATCTATGCAAACGTCGATGATCGGACGAAAGCCCGTGCAGTTCCGCATATTCGATAAACGATAAATAAAAATACTGTCGTACTAACAGAGTTGGCGAGTGAAATCCTAATCAACACAGAGGAACTAGGACATCACGAGGATTTAAAACAGGACTCTTACCTCAGGAGATAACCGACTTTATATTTGAAATTGACAACTCGAAATGAAATAAGCAGCGGTGAACTGATTAATATGATCTTTATTCAGTCATTATGAGGACTTAATAATTTTACATTGAATGTGAATGTTGTCATTCGTTGCGACGCTGAACTAGGACTGAGCGTTATACACGTGAGCGCGAAGCTCCGTCGAATTGGGTTGCGAGTGGTGGGCGAGCTTAACTTGGTGTCGCGGAACAGAATGAAGAGAGTCACAGTATTGGTTTGTTCGTATTGGAGTGAGAATACATGGAAAGAGAGACCGTTTCCATCCTTTCGCATCGATTTACTGATAGTGGCGCGCGCGTCGCTAGTCGCGGCCTCTTATTCCCTTCACCCTTCGCGCTTCCTTCGGCCAACGGGCTCTACACGATCTCTTTGCATCTTAGACAGTGATACTGTTACGGTAGGGTCAGGCCACTTATGTTTATGATTTCCTGTGATCGATAAGCTGTGAAGAGCCCGGACAATTTGCAATTTCTGACGGATGTACGTGACGGTTTTTTTTTTTATGAAACATTTGTTTTAGACGGGAGATAATGGGATTAGAATTCTATCGCGATGGGGAGCGGCAGGAGGACACAAAGCGGAGGTCATTCGAGAGCGGGTCGCGTCTCTATGGCATAATCTAGCTAAATGAGCTCTCAGTTGCATTCAAAAAACGTTGCGACTCTCGGTACATTTCAATGTGACCTAGAAGCCGGGGGATGCATGACCCACCCCAGGCATTTTTCATTGCTCCACTTTTTTTTCGGAAAATATTCGAGATCGCGGGGGGAAGCATTGTCTATACCCAGATCGGTTCTAAACTTCTTTTATTGACTAATGAAAGGGGTGGCTTTGAGAATTGATTACCATTTATGAATTATTCATCGGGAATTTTATAGCCCTGATTTGAGGTCAACCTACATTTCGCGAGGCTTGATTAGGTCATTGGGTGGGGGCTCTTGGTGCATTTCTTTCTGGCGCAATGGCTTAATCTATTTTCAATTACTATAATTCAGTGAGTTGGGTCTTAGCTGAGTTTTTTAGGGATATCTCGGAATCAGAGGGAGATAGCGAGATTTTTGTCATGACCTTTTTTGAAGAGCGGATTGAGAGCTACAAGAGTCGTTATAACAAAAATTTCGCTATCTCCCTTAGGTTATGAGATATTCAAGGAAAACTGGGGAGCAGTTAAAATGGAAAATGGAAATTTCAAAATCAAAATATTTTCCCCTCTTTTTGAATTATCAGTTGCGACAGATATCAAATGCGCCCGCATCAGCGTTATTTCCATAAATTTTCGACCGCATAAATGATAACCGTAAATAATAAATTATTCTAGTTTTATGTTTAAATAAAAACCGCGAGGTCAACGAATTATTATTCACCCTCATCATTGATACCATAACATTTGCAGCTTTAATTATTATCATCCCTCGCCCCCTCAGAAAAAAATCAACAGTTGCACGCGAATCTAAAAAAAGCTCCGCAAAAAATCAAATCGCATGTATTTCGACGCGTGATCACCCTGAGGTCCTGGACTCTGTTCGCACGTGTGCATTATGGGCCAAGGGGCGTAACTCCACCTCCAATTTCAGTAATTAGTTTTCCCGGTCGTGGTGCTGAGCAACAACACAAACTACTGGGGTTGAAAAAAATTCTTTCACGAGTCGATATCGACGGCGTTATCAGAAGCTGCCGCTGTGCGGAGCTCCGCGCGTCGAACATGGCCGATATGCCGTGATACCGTGCGTATGTGTTGAAGCGTCGAAATTTGAAGTGCTGAATCGCGGAGTTTTACTGGGGAAAGAATTTTTGGACTGCGGTAAGTACAGCTACTTCGCTTTTTCGGTGTCGGTGGGGACCAGGGGAATCGTTGCTAGATCACTCGGTTCTGCGATTCGCGGGAATCTCTGGTGAGCGGGGAAGTCTCAATAAGCGAAGTTTATCGCGGTCGATCAATAACGCGATAGGGGCGGTATGTTTTGACGGGATTGTCGGGAATTGGGTGAGGGAAAACAAATGCGAAGAGAGTGCGGATGAATGAAAGCTCTATCAAAAGTTTGAGCGTTAACAGACCTCTTCAAAATCAGCGATAATGCACTCCCATTTAATAAAAAAAAAAAAAAAAAAATGCACTCCCATTCGTAATTTTGTTAAAACTTTTATGAACACTACAGGTTCAATTTTGGTTAATCACTTTGTTACTGCCAAAAATTTAATTGCGTCGCTCGTCAGCGGGATTTGTTGGCAATTATTAATTCGGGTTGATAACTTTGAGATTACGCCCGGGAAAAATTATTATTTTGAGACTTCAAAGGTCTTGAGGATATCCAAGAATAATTTACAGTTTTAAATTGCGTGAGGAAGATTTAGAAACATCGAATATGAATATGCGTCGTTCAAATTACATTTTGCACAGAATTATTATTTTTTTGGACATTCGTTGTTTATAAAAAAATAATTGCAATTGTTCAAACTTTCGGAAATTTCAGTTTATAATAAAATTTATAATTAATTTATTTATTTCCCGGACTCAGTTGAAGATTTTCGAAAAGAGAAAAAATGGCTCTGTCGAAAAACTATCTGTTCCAAGCGTGAATATTTGAGGGAGTGAAACAGATTTACTTGAGGGAAATTAACCAACTTGACAGAAGGAAATTGAATATCTTTCACAAAAATTAAATTATTATTTTAAATTTTCATCAATAAATTCTCGTTTTTCCCCAGATCATGGCGCCTTTCAAGTTTCACTTTTCAAAAATGTCAAAATCACGGAGTAAGGACAGTAGAAATAGCACCGAGAGTGAGGAGCCCACATGCCTGAGCCAAACTACTTCACGAAGCACGCCCGAAACTCCGGCGATTGAAAATATCGGGGGTATTCCTGAGAATTCATCGGATGTCAGTCGAAGCTCACCTCCTCCTTCGTACGAATACGTTCTTGAGGAGGTGAGAGGCCCTTCAACTCGGACAATAACCTTACCCTACCGTTTTCTGTATTAAAATCAGTAGCGAAGTGGAAAAACGGTTTAAGTCAACTTTTGAGTTTTTGAGGAATATTTCCGAATCTAAGGGAGATAGCGAAATTTTCGTAATGACATTTGTTGTAGCTCTCAATCGGCTCTATAAAAAAGGTTATGACAAAAAGTTTGCTATCCCCCTCAGATTCCGAGATATTCATTGAAAACTGGTCACTAGTCACAATTGACTTGTACCGTTTTACCACTTCGCTACTGAAATAATTTTTGTTATTCATTCCCTCATTTTTCGCCCTCTAGACGCGAATGGGTCAGACCGCGAATGTGGTTGAGGAGCAGACGGAGAGCGCAAGTGACACAGAAACGCATCAGGGAGACGAGGTGGGAGGCACGAGTATTCAGAATATCATCGAAACCCCTCGCCCGGAAATGCACAAGTCGAGTAAGGAATTGTACAGAGCTGTTGCTAAACAGTGGGGAATAACTTGCAAAATGAGCGATCATTGCCGATGCTTCGACTGCCAGGTGAGCAATTATCAGCTTTCCATTATTTACGTAGCAATCGATACAACATCGTTCCATATAATTTCCTATTTTCGCTGGATGTGGAGAGCTTTTATTCGGGAAGCGAATGATAATGAATGAGCACGGGGGAGTGTGAAATAATAAATCTGGGGAGGATTTCCAAGGGTTTTGAATTTTTTCTGTAGTGAAAGGCTTTTCTACTTTTGTAGTCGAACATCAGAGCGTTCATTTGAGCCTCGTTTGACCCTAAATTACCGGATATTGATAATGACTTTGTTAATTAAATTTTGCAGGTCTGAATTTGAAGCTCAATAATTTTCGAAGAACTCAATTTGAGACTTAAAGTCTCAAGTTGAGACTTTTGAATGCGTTAAATTAAGACGATCAGAACTCACCTTAAAATTTTTCTTCGAGTTTCGATATTCTTAATTTGAGTCTTTAAAAAGCCTAAAATTAATACGTCTTAAAACGAAGCCTTTTTTCGGCTAAAAAAATTCTCCTGAATTAAAAAAATTTCAATTTGTGATCATAAGTCTTAAAATAAAGCTTGTTTTTTTATCTACAACTCATATTGCCCTTAATCTTCATCCCCTCTCATTTTATTCAAACTCCTCAACTCAACATTAAAAAAATTAATCAAACCATACAGAAATATGTAAAATGCTCCAGTTCCCTCAATGCAAATACAGCAGTTCCGTTATTATTCATCATGCTTTGCCTTGAATTCCCGACTAACTTAAATTTGAATTTTCCTCCGTCTAGAGCCATTACTTTGACTGTGAATACGAGAAAGATGAACAAGCAAAGACTGATGGTGGTTTGAGTGCTGGCACCCCGATGTTCCTCGCTGAAGTGATGCACGGAACCGCATGTGTACTACTGTAAATACGAAACACTCGGCTTTAAAAGATTCTGCGGGGAGGTATTGAAAAAAAGCTGAATACTTTTCCACAATTACTCAATATATGGAGTAAGTACATGGGGCTGTTGAAATTCACAGAGAACCCTTTTACATCCTTGTAACTACTCGAATATACACCGTAGGTGGTACTATTTTTTCACCTTGACACAATAATAATTGTCGATAAATTTACACTATTTTTTCCTTTGCTGAACTGAATAATTCGATGCTGGAGATGCATAATGTCCCAATATCCCAATTTTTGAATATTTTCGAGTGCCTCTTGATGAACGAGCAGGAAAGAGGGACGAATACTCAATTCAAATTTTGAAAATCAAAATTTACGGAGGAATTTTTATACCTAATACTCGTATAGACTTCAATGTTGCCTCTGTCCACAAATACGTCACAGCACAAAATACTGTAGTAGCGAGGCGGATTATTCAATTGATTGTATCAGCCGGAGACTAGAGTTTTGAATTTGTACCGACTGAATCAATTATCTTCACAGCCGATTTTTTTACATGAAACTTTATACTAAATGAATGAAAGTATTATTCAACGTTACATTTGTGGTGATAATTTATTATTGGACAGGATAATTATTATATTATTTGCAGATTTTCCCCCCTTTGATCTTTGAATTCCGATTGATAAATGTCTATAATAAAGTTGAATGTATTACTTATCGCAAGAGTATGTAAACCCCCACAATAGGTGTATTTACGTTATGCAAATAGCTTATTATATATTTAGATCAAGAGATATTGACTTAATTTTCCACCCTAATTGTCAATAGATTTCTCAATAGTTTGAAGAGATGAGCGCGAAGTAAAAATGTGATAATTCATAAATAGTGATACCAAGATGACGAAAGTTGCCATTGATTTGTTTTACTGGTGTTGATACCACTATTGATGATAGTTGCAACGAGGATGTCAGAGACGCGAGGAATTGCTAGACTGATTTAGATAGGGATATCGTAATTTTTCCATGCAGACGAGAGCTCCTATATTTGGAAGTGGTCAGGTCCCATTTGTGATTATGTTATTGTAAAAATATTGTGTATTATAATGTTTAATAATGAAAATTGTCGATGGAGTGTGAACATGTGGGCTATTCCATCGAGTCCAGTTAGGAATGGCCTGACAATATGTACCGGCCTCACCAGGAAAGTTCCAACAAGTAAATGTCTGTATTTTATGTCAATAAAAATAAATCCTGTTTTTGCTGGAAATTTAATCAGTGTGAAGATTATTGAGAATAAACTCGGTGAATGTGAGAAATCATCGATCACTAATCGTAGGAAATACACAAAAATATTTAGTGAAACTACATTGTTGAATTTGTGACGAATTAATGAATGTTGTTATAGTATTTCTTCAATTTTTTCCTTGATCACAATTGACTTTTGAAAGTCTCAATTTGAGATTTTCAAATGTCTTAAATTGAGACTCAAAAGTTAAATTGAAACGTCTCACAAAAGACTTTTGAAAGCGCTAATTTTTGGGAGACTATTGCATTCTGGTTTAATTATTCCAATTGCCAAATGCATTAAATACCCAGAGCACACGAGTTTTATTTGAGATTTTTAAATCTCAAATTGAGACTTCAAAAAATCTTAAATTGAGACCTTCAGAACTGAAATTAAAGAATAAATATAAACGCAGCGGAGTGTTTGGGACTCGGTTTATGGTGACGATGAGCTGTTTATGATAGGAAAGTTTCGAGGATTAGCTTTTAATTTTCTGTGTGAGAGACGGAGTGATTTAGAAATTTGGATAAATTGTGGGAATTCCTCCTTGGGAATTTTTCGTGTCTAGACAGAGGCATAGTGAAGCCACAGTCATCACATCCCTAAAAAAGAAGTTTCCGAAAGTTTAAACAATTTCAATATTTATTTGTACAACAAATGTTTAAAAAACTAATAATTCTGTGCAAAATGTCATTTGAATGACGCTGAATATTCACGATTGTTTTCAAATTTTCCTCACGCAATTTAATTGACAAATTTAATGATTGAAAATAGCGACTGACTAAATTCCTGGTAATCGCCGATTGTGATGACGCGTGGATATAAAGCTGAGTGATTGAATCCAGCGATGCTGGTTCCAATGACATCATCCGCTGCACACCAGGCGAATGTGTGCGCACGAGAATTAAGTATTCTCCTCTACATACTACTTAACTCAAAACTTTTTCCTCTTTTTATCCGGCTATTCCGTCTCTCCCTCCCATGACTTATCGCCGCAGTTTCTCGGGTCTGCCTCTCACTCAGCAGTCACACCGATCTCTCGCTTTGACTTGCACATTCCAAATGGTCCGTTTAGCTGAGGCCTCGCGACTACTTGTTTTCAGTTAGCGCGGCATTGCTATTATGTTACAATCGGTGTGCTGCTCTGTGGAATTGTGCAACGTACGCGGAAAGATCGGAAAATCATGACAATTGTTAATAAGTGTGAGCCGGTTTTTTTCTACTGGTGATGTGATACTAGAATGGGAAGGATAGCGAGTAAATTTCGGAGGGCCTTCAAAGCAAAGTTAGTGAGTTGCGAATTTTTAGAGAAATATTTTCGTGTTCTTCTGCATAAAATTGTGCCATTTATCATGATTTAAGGACATCCAAGTATCTTACAGCTTGACAGATCACACTGTAGATTCTGGCAATTTAATCATCAAATTCGTCATCCAAATTACATTTTGCACAGAATTATTATTTTTTTAAACATTCGTTGTTCATTAAAAAATAATTGAAATTATTTAAACTTTCGGAAACCTCATTTTTTTGGGCATGAAATCGATTTCTGGTAAAATTTTGAATAAACTTGTTACGATTTTGAACAAATGATTTTTATGGAAAATCGATTGTTTGTAAATTATCTATAAAAAATGCTCGTAATTTTCAGAAAATGCAATTTTCAAATTATTTTATCAATCTTTCTCCAAAAGTAAACTTTCCATTTTTTTCCGATTTTTTAAATGTTAACGGTTTGTTATCGAAATGACGAAATTGAAATCCAGTCCTGCAAAATTTAAAGAATCTAATCATTGTAAAATGAAAGCTCTTGTGTGCGACTACAAAAGTAGAAAAGCATTTTTTTCACTGAAGAAAAAATAGTCAAATTAGTTGGATATCCTTGAATCTCGTGGCTTGTGCATTTATTCGAGACCTTAAAAATCGACAAAATAGAATCTCTTCCATTCCGTGATGGTCGAGGCCACCATCATGTGCAATTCATCCGTTGAAACAACACGTGACGCGCTATTTAAAATGCGAGAATGCCGCAGCAGCCGTCTGAACGTCAACCGCTGAAGTGAATGGAATTTTTATCTCGGACGAAATGCCCAAGAATTTGAAGATACCACGTGGAGGGCACCGAAGAGGATATCGTGTGCTCTCTTATCTTGTGTAAACGACGATTTTATCTGTATTGGGGCAGGGATTTCCTCAACATGGCTACAACTGCATTTTCAATACCAACGACTGTTTGAATTTCGTCAGGCGTGAAAATAATCAGCAAGTGCTTAAATTACACATTGTTAACGAGTTGTGGGCTGTGTTATGCAATACCTATCGGTATCCGCGGCAGTATTTTGCTTAGCCAACGTGCGGTATGAAGGCGACCTGTTGTTGAATGTCACTGCATCATTTCAAAGTATTGAATACATTTTTTTAATGAAATTTGACATTAATTGACTGATGCAATACATTTCGAATTGAATACATTTTTTAAAATTAAATTTGATGTTGATTGACTGATGCAATCAGAACACTGTTGGAAAAAAAATTGTAATTTTATGGGAAGTTGAGTAGGATTTTTCAGGAGTGGCATTGATTTCGATTTAGAAGAAGAATGTTATATAATATTCCACTGGAGGCTCAGTGAAATTCTAAATTTTTAAGAAATAGGAAGTTGAGTTTCTCAACTTCCTTGAATTTATTACGCAAATTTTTAATTCATTAAAAATTTGAGAATACGTAGAATACAAAGGCCCCAGAAATGCAGAAATAAATTTTTTTTTTCACCCGGAGCCAACGTGTCAGATCTTAGATTTTTCCAGGGGGAAAGTCGACTTTCGCCAAAATCGAATTTTTTCGCCGAGTGAAAGTTGATTCCGACTATTTAAGCGACGAGCTATCCAGAACTCTCAAAAGTTTTTGGGAAAAGTGAAAAATGAAAAAGTTTTTTTTTTCAGATTTTCAAAGGGTCAGATTTTCCGTTTTTCCAGGGGGAAAGTCGACTTTCGCCAAAATGGAATTTTTTAGCCGGGTGAACGTTGATTCCAACTATTTAAGCGACGGGCTATTCAGAACTTTCAAAAGTATGTGGAAAAAGTGAAAACTGAAAAAGTTTTTTTTTCTCCCCGAGCCAAAGGGTCAGATTTTCGGTTTTTCCAGGGGGAAAGTCGACTTTCGCCAAAATCGAATTTTTTCGCCGAGTGAAAGTTGATTCCGACTATTTAAGCGACGGGCTATCCAGAACTCTCAAAAGTTTTTGGAAAAAGTAAAAAATGAAAAAAAATTTTTTCACCCGGGGCCAAAGTGTCAGATCCCGGATTTTTCCAGGGGGAAAGTCGACTTTCGCCAAAATCGATTTTTTTAGCCGGGTGAACGTTGATTCCAACTATTTAAGCGACGGGATATTCAGAACTCTCAAAAGTATGTGGAAAAAGTGAAAAATGAAAAAGTTTTTTTTTTCAGATTTTCAAAGGGTCAGATTTTCCGTTTTTCCCGGGGAAGTCGACTTCCGGCAAAATCGAATTTTTTCGCCGAGCCGAACGTTGATTCTGTATCTACTCTCAATTCTGATGCCAATGAAACACTCGGAGGCCCCCGAAATGCAGAAACAAAAATTTTTTTTTCACCCTGAGCCAAACTGTCAGATCCTGAATTTTGCCAGGAGGAAAGTCGACTTTAGGCAAAATCGAATTTCTTCACCGAGTGAACGTTGATCATATATTCCCAATATACTCATCTACTCCGCATATATTTCACATATAAATACCCTTTATGATTTTCCGTGGGGGCCAAATCCCCGAAAAATCACAAGTCATAGAAGAACTTCCACCATCGAAACCAGCAGTAAACGCGTGTAGTTTTCCCATCAGGGTTAAATTAATGACCCCCTGAGCAATTTTCTTCCTGCCAGAACATGATAAATGATTCATCATTTCTGCCAGCCCCAATTAATTACGCGGCAGGATAACCGGTCATCACCACGAAAACCCATGAATGAAAATTCGAGGGCCTCTCACCCGCCAGCCCGAGGCCCCCGTATCCGCGTTTCTACCCCTCGAGCTACCCCAGTATCCCGCATTCATCGAACGATACATTGTACGCAAGCGCCTCCACTCGTCCCTCTCCCCGCCGACTCTGCTGGAACGGCCGCGTTTCATGATCAATAATTCTCATTCGAGGGCTCCCCGACGGTGTATTGTTACTATGTGCTCTTTATCGTTCAAACTGCGATATGAAAATCGGAGGAAATAGTACGGAAAATAAACCTCCATGGATATTTCTAGTTCACTATCGACGTAAGTTCCGCTGACTGGAAATTTCGATTAGATTTATGAAAATGCGCTAGATAGTGGCGTCGTTGTCAATAGATACGAGGGGATTGGGTAGGGGTGGGGGTGGGGGTACAGCATTTACTCTAACTACATCGCATACCAATTGACACGAATTGACGCAATTGAAAAAAGATTGAACTCATAAAAAATTCCAAATGAGTGATTCCTGCGCTCTGCAACAGCAATCGTCACTATTTTTAGGCCTCACTGGGGGAAATAAAAATCTCGGGGTTCCCCTTCTCTCGGCTACGGCAATGTGCCGATAGGGCCGAGTCATAGGTTCAGTATAGGGTCTGCGCGCTCGCCGAATGCCGCCACCGCGGCCTATATTTACGCGTGGCTTTCCCGATGATGTCATGACGTTTGGCAGTAGCTAGTGATTGTGACTGGTTTTAGAGACATGTAATGCGGATTGAATATTGAATATGGATTTGTGATTAGGCACTGAATGTGATTGTTTGGAATTCCCAGAAGTATCAGCCCGGTAGAATGGAGGGACGAGGACACTGGAGATAAGGGCGATGCCGATTATGCTGAATGCACGCCTCGACGAATGGAGTTGCAGACTGTGAATCAAGACGAGAATAGCAGGGTCAATGCATCAATGGTGAGTACAACGAGCGCGTATCGTTATTTTGCAGATATCTGGGCCTGAGGTTTCGTGGGTCGGGCGAGGGGGTGGACTGCGATTCGCCGGCAACACCCTCTTCTCAAGTGCCGTTTGTCACTCGAGTCCTCAAATCTCGTATTTTGTGGTTTTTTAGGTGATATCCGAGTTTTCGGGGAATTCTTTGAGAAGACTTTCGTCATGTGTTGATTCTGTTTTTTATTTTATTTTTTATTATTTTTATTGCTTCCGAATAAAATCGCTGAAAGTTAAATTTTCAATTTTTTGTGTTAGGGTTGCTAAATATGATGTAAAAAATCCGAATATGCAATTTTTGGAAATTTTCTTATCATCTGACAGAACCTGGATTAAACTCTGGCTAAATTCTGAATAAATCCTGATTAAATGTCGGGTATACACTGATTAAACCTTGATTAACCCCGGACTGACCGTGAATTCAAGTCTTGAGAGGGTCTGAATGGAGAATTATTTGACAGAACGAAATAATACGCAAAATTTCGATTATTTGAAAAATTAATGCATCTCGCATACTCCAATGCTTCGTAAGTATTGAGAGATAAAATTGCGTGCGAACAATTCATCAACGGGTTGAGTAATACCCATTTTGAAAGCCTCCATTTAGCTCTTCAACATGCATTAGAAATGCACGCTGACCACAACATCATTAGTAATGAAAAACAAAACCAAAATCCCACTTCTGACACCAACGCAAAGTATGGATCCACTCCACGATACTTTACAATATTATCCTGTTATAGGTGTGAAATATTCTTCAATCATGAATAAATGCCTTATCATAAATAATTCCTTGCGTTGCAGGAACCATCCGAAGAAGCAACTCGTAAACTCCTTGAGCGTGAACTCCGATTGTTGGATCCGCGGGACCTGCGATCGCATGCATGGTATCACGGGAGTACATTGAGACACGGGAGAAAGGGAGCAGAAGCTGAGGTACCAAACGATGGTGACTTTTTGGTGCGAGACTGCGCCTCGCAACCGGGGAATTACGTTCTGACGGTGCGATGGAAGGGCCAACCTCTGCACTTTGTCATCAATAAGGTGCGGTAAATTATTATTTGAATCTCAATTGAGATCACAGGTTTCAGAATAAAGCTTGTTATTGTTTTATATAAATTTCTGAAAATCGGCGACATAAGCAATACAATTCCACATTGACTTTGTTCCCCCGTAACAATAGGTCGTACTCCAACCAGAGACAGTCTACGAGAGGGCTCAATACCAATTCGAGGACGAGGCATTCGACACAGTCGCCGACCTCATAACGTTCTACGTCGGCAGTGGCCGGCCAATCAGCCAAGCGAGCGGGGCTCGTATAATCAGTCCCAAGCCCAGATCAATCCCGATTACCTGCCTAGCATCCACCACCAACCTAAGTTGCTCAAGTCCCTCGGCAACCTGCTCGCCGCCCCGTCTCCCGCGGAAACAACAGCGGAGTCAGTCCCTAATACCTCAACAGCAGTTCAACCCGGAGAATGATCAACATCAATTCCGATCGCCACCGAATCATCTGGTGCAATCAAGCACCCTCCCCCGAGCTCCGCCAGTGCAGAATCAGCTGTCGTCCGGGTCCTTCTCCCTGGGACGCCAAAAGATCACTCGGGTAATATCAGATCCAGCGCTTCAGCACCAAATGCAGAATAGCCTTAATCACCAGTCATCGCCGGCACCACCGAAACCCCCCCGCGTACCGTACATAGCTAATCAACAAGCGCACTCTCATCTGCATCATCACCCGCATCATCATCATCCTCATTACCATCATCATCATCATCAGGTGAGACCACGTTTTCCCATCTCAAATGAAGTAAAATAACAATTTCTGGAATAATTGAGACGATAATTGGCTTTGCGGTTCAGGGTAAATAAAGTTAATGAAATTCAAGTATAAACTTGGAAAGTTTCGACCCATATGCAGGTCCTCAGGGCATACTTATCAACTGCAACGACCCAACAAAAGTTTCCTCATTATGACCGACCCCGCCGATCTTTGGAATAACTTTGACTGCGATGCTTGGAAGACTCGATCGACGGAAATTTTCGATAGATGTAGCAATATCCTCATCTCCAGAAATGTATTACGTTCAATAGAATTATCCCCATGTCAGTTTCAAATCCCTTTCTCATCTGGAACCAGCAAAACCACAAAGGACTATTTGCTCAAGTCAAACTTGCGAACAGCTTCTCCTGTACCTTTTGCTTTCAAAGGAAAAAAGTTAAACTAGATCCGCGAAAGTGTAGTGATTGCTGTGATATGAAGGACAGACTGTTTTTTGCACCTCGTTCTTAGATGCCCTATTTATAACGATCTTAGATCCGATTTCCTCCCGAAATTTTCAACTTCACCACAGGATCTTTCGCGTTTTGAGGAATTTAGCAATATCCTCATCTCCAGAGATGTATTACGTTCAATAGAATCATTCTCATGTCAGTTTCAAATCCCTTTCTCATCTGGAACCAGCAAAACCACAAAGGACTATTTGCTCAAGTCAAACTTGCGAACAGCTTCTCCTGTACCTTTTGCTTTCAAAGGAAAAAAGTTAAACTAGATCCGCGAAAGTGTAGTGATTGCTGTGATATGAAGGACAGACTGTTTTTTGCACCTCGTTCTTAGATGCCCTATTTATAACGATCTTAGATCCGATTTCCTCCCGAAATTTTCAAGTTCACCACAGGATCTTTCGCGTTTTGAGGACTTTAATTCGCGATGATTTCCAAGACCCAAACTCTTTTGTAATTTCTTCGTCAAATAACACCAATCAATTCCTGAAACATTCCCAGGCATATCCAGCATCTGGCAGTGACAGCGGCAACGGCTCCGGCGACAGCGAATTCGAGGGAAACAATTCCGGCGGAACAAATCCCCCGATTCCAATAAAAGGTGTCATAATCCGAAGTCACTACGGCTTATCGAACGACGGACACAATGGCAACAGCAGCGACTACGAGTTATCGGCAGAAGAGCAGCTGGTGGTAGCAGCACCGTCTTTCGAAATACTGAGCCTGCTAGATATGGAAGGTTTCTCCACTCTACTACTACCCGCGAACGATCATCGACCGCTGGACCCGACAGCTCTGAGAGGTGTCTCTGGGATGCTGCACGACTCAGCCCCGCGAATTTTAGCTTCCCACCTGACGCGTCTCGATCTGGAGCTGATCCTTCAGCCAGGAATGGGAAACAGATTCGGCCTGAGTGGACTGGAGTTGGCAACGCTGCCACATGGTCGGCAAGCTCGACTGGACCTCATCGAGAGGTCAGAGTGCATCAAGCTGCTGGTGGCTGTGACCATCCTCGCTGGGACGACGGCCCTTGAGCGAGCATCCACGATAAGCAAATGGATAAAAGTCGCTATCGACACTAAGACAGCTCTCGGAAATCTTTACGGCTTCTGCGGGGTCATGCTGGGCCTCTGTCTACCTCAAATTCAGAGGCTGGCTAATACCTGGCATCTTCTGAGGCAGAAGCACACGGACGAGGCGTTCAATTTCGAGGCTAAACTCAGACCCACTCTCAGAGCTATGAATGAATGCACTAATCCACAGGCGCCTAATACAACTCTACCACATCTACTTCCTATTGCATTGCTTGGCGAACGTGGTCTTGATGACGTCTTAGGTAAGTCATTGCTATTCATGCTGCGATGTGTTGCTCTATGAACCAGGACAAACGACGGGATTAATGTCATTGTTTTCCAGGCACTGTGGCAACATCAGGCCTCGTCGCTGCCATTCTCTCGTCGTGGGAGAATTCAGCCCCCGATTGCGGCCTATCAATAGTCTGGGCGCATCTCGAAGCTGCCCGAAAGTTGACTGAAAGTTTACCCCTCTTTCGCAGAAATGCGGAAATTGCGCTCGAGGGGTCGAGAAGTGATGAGCTTTTACTAGACGCATTTCGTACGGAATTTCATATTAAGTTTTTGTGGGGCAGCCGCGGCGCTGCGGTCGCACCGGAAGAGAGACACCTCAAGTTCACTCAAGTTCTTGACGCCATGTTCGAGAAGTGCACGACCAGTGAGGCTGCTGCGTAAGAGGTATTGACAGGTTTTATGAGGCAGGAGTATATACGATTGTACGAGGGTAATCATTGAAATCAAACTATACGCGTAATAGGGAATTCCAGTCATTTACATTATGGATGATATCACTAGTGTAGGGGAAGTAACGACGTATCGAGAGAGACAATATGATGAGCGGATCCAAAGAATCCCAGTGATCGTGGGGGTGAAATTTCGGCTGTACTAATTATTATGTACTTAAATCATTGTATATTCTATTAATCACATGTATACACGTTGTTCATATTTGTTTAACGTAAGTAGGGAATATTATAATGAAGTGGAGAGATAATATACACATGTGAAAGCAAACGTTTTGGTGATTTATTTCAATAACGACTCGTTTTTTTGTTTTCAACTATTTTTTATGTGGATACGTTCATGGTTTGAACATGGGGAGTCATTTTGGGAAACGGTCCTTATGTGCAGCGCCATCTACCGGAGTTCTAGAAAATTCTAGACATTTTGAGGTAATTCGAGAAGTTTCTTGAAATTTCGCAAAAATTCAAGGAGTTTCTGGAAAATTTGAGAACGAAGGAAAGAACACTGACGGATCTACTTACAATTACAACTGTATCGAAGATACAGCCGCCTGCCATTTCTTTAAATTTTTGCTTCCGAATGGCTCAAGCTTTGTCATCGCTTCAATTTAAGTTTCCAATTTTTTGTGTTGGGGTAACTAAATATCGCCGGAAAAGTCCGAATATGCGATTTTTGGATGGTGTATCTATATTTCGTTCAGAAATTTTCTTACAATTGAATTTCGTGAATTTTTTCATGAATATAGACTTTAATAAGCTGACATTTCAATTGATGATGGTACTATGACATAAAAAAATAGAAGAGAATAGTGATTTAAAAAAGAGAATTCATTAATAAAAAATGCAATTATCCACTTGTTTTTCGGAAATTTTAGGAATTTTTCTGTTATTTAAACACTCCGTCTCACCTCTATATTGAGTCATCCACCCACATTTTATCATTGGTCGAAACAATTCATAAATTTATTTGATTGACAATGAGTATGATATTCACGCCCCACAATCGTAGAGCACGCCTGGAGGGACAAGAATAACCGTTTAGTGTGAGCACTGGGGTGGGAAAACACATCACGATGGCATAACTAATATGATTTTCCTATCAAATTATTCACCAGAATGTACATTGAGCTCATCTACTCCAGATTTCCCCTTCCTGAGCCGCTATTCGGAAGAATAATAGGCAGCTCCAGGGGGGAGTTGTCTTATAATTCCCCAATTTAGTTTCTTATTCTTCTATTACAAATAATAAATACTTGTACTAAAGTTGAATGAATTCGCTGCGGAGAAGAAACAGCTAAAGTATTGGGATCTCCTTAATGCAACATTTCCAGAAATTCCTGTGAAAATTTAATTTCAAAATTCATGTACTCAATAAAATTTCTAGCGCCGGCACTGGCATTTTTCCCTGGCCGTCACTTTGCGTTCTTTTTCCAGTGCTATCACTAGAATTTTTCTACAAAATTTCTCTCCGTGTACTTGCTTCTAGACACTACCGCATGACTTGATTACTGATACATCTCTCCAACAAGCACAAATCCGATGTACGTTGAATATTAATATGACCTAGATGGGAAGTGAATTAATCTATTTGAATAACTAAACGATGAAACACGGACTTTCCATAAAATCGATGGCTGAAGTGAATATTCCCTCGTCTAGAGCCGGCGCCCTCCCCCGGTGATCGCTCCATCATCTGCGCCTAAACTTGGTGTTTTTCTCGAAAATTCTGAGACTTTACTTCAAGCATATTTCCCCTGAAGGACATGAGTCAGAGGCGGAGGTATGTGACAAGTTTGAATGAGCAAGCCTCGTCAAGTCTGCACTCCATGAATCCCATTCATGAGCATGTTAACAGCCTATCGGACTCAACGGCCGTGTGTTAACAGACATTTGGGCAATAACGAGCTATTTTGATGTGGTTTGAAGCACAGCTTTACTGGTTTCCATCTAACAGCACGATGTATCATGATGTATTGATTGGAAGCTAGGCTACAGGTGGCTTTCTTGAGCATGCGCTCAAGCTCACACCACAGATATGAATAATCTCTCGGTCTCTTGTTACAATCACCATCACATCGAAAGCTATCTGGATCCCTGAAAGAGTATTAATAGCCAATAGAACTTGAATTCGCGTGGGAGCACAATGAAACGAAAAATAAAACAAGTATTTCCATTCGCCTCTGCACAGTGATAAATATGAGGCTATTAATCTGTGACACAATGAGCTTTCCTGTTTCCGTGCTTTTTATTCCTTTACGATGCGATGATAATATTCCAGGGTGAGGTATACCCGATTCTTTTGTTGAACCTTCATCTCTTTTCTATTTATACTTTATATTCCGCTTATAACTGATACAAGGACTGAGCATGAATGGCTAGAAAGGGAGTCGGGAGTTTTCAAAAGAACCAAACGCAATATTGGAATTCATCGTCAATGAAAAAAATTTACTCTCACCGGATTTGGCGGTTGTGATATTGCTGGTGGGAGGCGTTTTTGGATGGGAAAATGGGGCTGATGTAGCGGGTAAACCCAAGACAACATGACAATTGAGTGCGTCAACGCAAGGCTGGACCATCGAGCGTGTGATAATCCAATGAAGCATTGTTACAATGTGCTGTCATATTATGGAAGTCCATCGATTTTATGGTCTCAACAATGTTATATTGTTTCTGCGGAGATTTCTACATAATATTGTGGGCTGTCGTGCGGGTGAGTCTAGTCGCAATGCTCGCGGTGAATACCTGCGGAATGTGAAATGCATCTTTCGAGGATTTAAAAGCTTTCGGAAGGCGGATGTTGAGGTTTTCATTCGATGAATTTTTACACCGGAATGAGTGGGTGATGACTGAAGAATCAGGTTTATGAGAGGAGGAATGTTTCAGTTTTCTGGGATGAAAGTAGGTCATATATAGGGATGCCGCGGCGCAAGACAAGATAAGAAATACGTAATTCTTTTTTTGTAAAGAAAAATCAATTCAATTTTTATTTCTTGTAATAAAAAATTGAATAGAAAATTTCAGCGAATTCGCTAGAAAATGGTATTGAATTTCTCTAGAAATTCTATGGAGAAAATTCTAGGGAATTCTTGTTAAAATTTCATTTCTTCTTTGCGCAAATTCTATTAAATATTTGTTAGCGAAAAATCAATAAATTTCGATTTTTCTGTTAAATTTTTCTTGTGAAATTTTTCTATTAAAATTATTGGGCATAGATTTTCTGTTTTTCCCGCTATATTTTGTTTTTTTTGGCATTACAGGATCCGACAGAATAGAACTTGGAAAATTCATGTCCAAGTAGTCTCATAAAAAAATTCCAAGAGAATAATCATATAGGAAAATCTAAATCTATTGAATTTTTCCTATCAAATATCTCACAGAATCAACGCAAAAAACAAATAGCATTTCAACGAGAATTCCCCAAGTTTTTCTATTGAATTTCGTCATACGTGCAGCAGAAAGAAAAATTCTTCTCTCATCTCGCGTTCTTTTGTGCACCTCGAAAATATTATTTTTTAATTCCGCGAAATTAATAAATTGAGTTTCCCTTCTTTGGAACAAAAGTAAAATAAAAAAATAAAATAAATAATTATTTAACAAAATGGCTTTACATTATTATAAACATAAAAATAACCAACAGATGTCGGAAATACCCGAGTAACGTCTCCAATCCCGGATAAACGATTGGGATTCGTCGGAACAAAATGCGATCAATCTCCTAATGTTCTCCGATGCCCACGAATAATACAACCCATTACGATCCAACAATAGTAACCAATTGCCGAATGCCTTTAACTATACAATATTTAATTGCAAATTGATTAATTGTCCTCGCGTAATTATTGCCCCGTGAATCAACGTTTCCCAACGATTACCATTATTTTTCCCGCAAGTTGGTGAAAAAAAGGAGAAAAAATTTCACCACTCCACCTATACCTATATACTTTATTTTTAGCTGGGGCAAACGCGCACTGGCTGTTGAGCTCCTTTTTTCGTTTAGCTTCCATTTCATCCCCCTAGCTCACAGAGGGATAGTTGAGCGCTTGCGTATTTCAACTCATTTCCCCCTTTCTACCTTGCCGCTGTTGTCCTGTACCTCCACATACAGCGGTATCTCTGCATTCACGAGGCTACAACATTGGCCCGCGATACGCCAGTTCCGCCGCACCAGCACAACGCGCCGCACAATCGTGAGTAGTTGAAACAGTATGAAAAAAAAAATCCATACACATGAAAGATCGATTGATAAATAATTTTTGAATATCTATATAAATTGTAGTTGCTTGCTCCCTATTAATGTCATAAGTATCTACTCCCATACACATTTAGGTTTACAAAATCCCCTCATTCATAGACTGATACCCGATCGCTGTCGCTTCTTCGTCTACCCCCTTTTATTTAGCCCCAGGTACATATGTGTTTGTGACTGCAACTTACGTGTCAATTTTTTCCAAACTCAATGGATTAACATTTGTCATAGATCAGTGTTCACCCGTGCTTATTTATCGTTATGTCCCTCTGTCACGATATTATCGGCGAGAATTTCCGGTATCATGCGTATATCACAAATGATATCATGTAACACTGACCATGCTAAACCCCATCCCCATGGCTCCTTAGTTACTGAGATGACAAGTTATTGTGCTAGGGTACATGATATTCGTGTCATACTGTGTGGCAAATTGAAGGCTTCATTGAAATTGACAACTGATATATGTGGTAGAAATAATAAGTACGGCTTTGGAATTTGATGCCATATGGCAATAGCTGTAATTCAATTCTCAGAGATGCATTCAGATCAATGGGACTTGTGCGACTGTTTGTGAATGCACGAGAGGCGAAATGTTGTGCATTTGTCGGGGGGAAATGCAAATGAGGGAGAGGTGCAATAATTCAGTTCAAAGTGGAGATAATTTTTCACTCAAACATTATGAGGAGAGATTCTTCATCGTCAATCTAACGACCCCAGCGAAGCCCTTTTATGTAGACTCATTCGTAGACGTAGAGAGCCCTGGAGACTCGGCGTACCACCGCAAGTACATTGTTTTCAGAGATATTAATCATTATATTTTACAACCGGCACTCTGTCACCGTCCGCCAGCATTTCCCAGTTACGATCGTCATTCCGCTTTACTGAGGGCTAGCGCAAAAATTAATGGACGAGTTGAAAGCACTTTATTGTTCGCGCATCATTTAATCAATGAGTCTTTCCCCAATGCGCTGACTTTGATCGCTCAATGGAAATGAGTTTCCCTGCACCTTTTAAGCACACACAGCTATCTAAATGAACTGAATTCACTTTTGTTTGCCAGTTTTCCTAACACCCCCGTGGAATTAAATTTTAATGAAACAAACTCGTTGCTGCACAGAAGTTTACAGAGTCTGCCGTGACACTCCTCCACCCAACTCAAACTCAATTTGGCGTATTTGTGTATGTAATACAGCACATTTACCTCGATCCTAACTTTCCTGGTGAAAGGTCAAAATAGACGGGGGGAAATTGAATTTAGGCTGTTAAGTATATCTCCAGTTATTCAGATTTATCAGGGAATCAGGGAATTCGGGGTATTTCCGTGGGAGTTGGGGATGAAATTTTTAGAACTGAAGAAGTGGATGGAAATTATAAGGATTGGTAAATTCAGTAGCGAAGCGGCAAAACGGTTTTTTGGGGAATATCTCGGAATTTAAGGGAGATGGCGAAGTTTTCGTAATGACCTTTTTTGTAGAGCGAATTGAGGGTTACACAAAAGGTTATGACAAAAATTTAGCTACCTCCCTTAGTTTTCGAGATATTCATCAATCAAGATGAGACTTTCGAAAATTTGGTACTCGACATTGAGACTCCAAAAATTAAGGGTCAGGAGGATTATAATACGGGTCAGATTAAGGGTTACAAGGTTCAAAATAAGGGTCATGGAGGTCATATGGAATTATATGGGGGTCACATATGCGTAACCCCCTAATCTTAAAATAAGGTACTATTTTTTGTTGCAATTCAGTGACTCATTTAGTGATAATTCTCTAATAACTCACATTTCTGTCTATTTCTTCATTCGCATTTCCAATCTCTTCCTCCCCAAACATAATAATCCAAATTTCTAATCGCTATACATTATTAAACAGAGTGGTCAGTCCGATAAATAGGTATCACCCAGGGATGGCTCCTTAGCCGAGCCATTTCGGCGATAAATGCTGAGAGGTATAAAATAATGCCACCTGTTGCGATAAAACTCTTTTGCTGTACATACCACATACTCCGATAGTGGAATTCTACACCAGAAAACGTGCCTCATCGCCAAATTTTCCTCTGCGGGGAAAAACTACTCGAGTCTTTATTGCTTTATCCATAAATAAAGCTATCAGTGCGATGGAAAATGAAATGGTAACTATTCCCCCGCGGATTTCACATTTTTTCAAACACACGCTGACCCCGCTACACAGTTCAATCGACTTTGTCCATTAGTGACTCAGCATTACAATTTAACTTGTTGACCATTCAACAATTCAATTCAGTCTGTCAATAGTTCGACTGCGTTATCGAGTGGTTTGGTTAATGTTTTTGTGTCAACTGCCAGTGCAACAACAAACTGCATGGAATAACTCTCAGGAGACAACAAACTTGTTGCACTTGTTGCGGTTGATGGGGGTCAACGGGGCTGTTGATCCGCCGCCGGATAATTGACGGATTATTTGAATGGCGTAATGAGGAATGAAACCGGTGATGATGAATCGATAAATAAGAGTTGGGGATGGATGACGGGGCGTTAACGTCGGAGACAACTTGGCCGATCCATCATGCTCCTTTCGCTATGGTATTAACCTATATTTGGCCCACCTTTTGGGTCCATTGATTGGTTCACACTTACGCCTGGAGGAGACATCTATTGAATCGCTGAAAGCAAGGATAGAAGAATGTACTTACGTGTGGAAGACATTCTCTTGAGATGAGAGACTTTTCTTTTTCAAAAGCTCGGATCTCGGGGGGATCTCATTTCACAGGGCTCGCGAGAGCTCTTAAGTTTAGGATATTCTTGCGCTGGGGGGTGATTATATTGTATGTCAATTCACTTAGCTCGGGTTGAAATAGTATTTCTTGTGGTTTTATGCACTCGGGAGAAAATTTTTTAGAGCTTTTTTTGAGACTTGTGATCTCAAATGGAGACTTGGAATCCCGAAGCTTTTGAATTCAGGAGAAAAATTAGATTTTTTTACACACAAAAAACAATATATATTTTGAGACTTATCAAATTAAGACTTTCCAAAGTCTCATATTAAGACCTTCCAAGTCTCAACTTGAGACTTTCAAAACTCTCAATTCAACAATTTCCGGTTTCAAATTAATTCCTTTAAAAATCTCAAATCTTAAATCTTCAATCTTTAATTTTACTTTAAGACCTATGAAATCTTAAAATAAAGTATGATTTCAACTCGAACCTATTATCGATCAATTAATTATCGGAGCTCGAGCTCGATTAAAGATTCGGCAAACGCGCGAGCTTGCAGTCAGTTTGGGCTTCCTCAACTACAGCCAAAACTGAAGCCTTTGATCCGACAATCACGATAACGCGCTCCGCATCATGAGTAGATAATGCTTGACAAAAGATCGCTTCACACGAAGTTTCAAAACCAAGTTTATAATTTAATTGAATCTATCAATTTACAAATACACTCTTGCAGGGATAAAAAAGAAGGAGTCAACGAATTTAATCGCAGTTGAAGTGCTCTTTAAATAATGATAAGTTCTACCTGTCATCACTCCAATAATTTTCTCATTCCCAAGTCAGTAATGACGATGACAGGATACATTTAGGAACCCTCGAACATTATCATAAACACTGAGTAGACCGGGAGTTTGATTTTGACCGAGAGCCTACACTGACCCACTTTCAGTTGACCCAATTCTAATAGCTCGCTCGGTTGTTCAACGTCGGTAGAGAGACTCGGTTGTTTCACCCTACTCCATATACTCGTGTACAGTATACCGGTGCACAACAGGTAGCTATTACCGGGAAAAATAAACAGTATAGCCGCTAGAATCATCCCCGGACGTTGTGTACCAAAATGTGTTATTAAATTCCGTTTTACGTCACACGTGTTGACAATTTCTGTTAAACAAAAAAAATGGATTGGTGGAATTAAGCTCGAGGGTTTATGTTTTTCACACATGGTTACAGGGCTGTGGTCACCACTATCTCGTGTCATATCTTGTTAGAGTAAGGGGAGCTCACGGAGAAATCGAGGCGATTTATGGGATACAAAGAGTCGGTTACAGTGTTCGCACTGGATACACAGGGCGTTTAATGACCGTGTAGGGATTATCGCGCGTCAACGACTACTGATGCCGCGAGAGACGAGACGAGAGGCTTTACGAGACGAGACGAGACACTGCGAGACAATTTTTCGACTCGCGACGAGACAACATCAGCATGTAAACAAGAGCGTTAACAGCGAAGACGAAATGTCAAGTAAAATATTTTTTAAGGTATCACGAGACGAGACATGTGAGACATGTGACACGAGACGAGACAAGACACAATATTTCGACTCTCGATGAGACAACATCAGCATATAAACACGAGCGTTAACAACGAAGACGCAACGTCAAGTGAAATATTTTTTAAGGTATTACGAGACGAGACGAGACATGTGAGACATGTGAGACGAGACGAGACATGAGACAAGACACAATATTTCGACTCTCGATGAGACAACATCAGCATATAAACACGAGCTTTAACAGCGAAGACGAAACGTCAAGTGAAATATTTTTTAAGGTATTACGAGACGAGACGAGACAAGGGACAAGAGACAATCTTTCGACTGTCGATGAGACAACATCAGCATGTAAACAAGAGTGTTAATAGTGAAGACAAAATGTCAAATGAAATATTTTTCAAGACATTATGAGACGAGACGAGAGACTACGAGACAATTCTTCGACTCTCTACGAGACAACATCAGCATGTAAACAAGAGTGTTAATAATGAAGACAAAATGTCAAATTAAATATTTTTTAAGGCATTACGAGACGAGACGAGACAAAACGAGAGACTACGAGACAATCATTCGACTCTCAACGAGACATTGCATGTAAACAATAGCGTCAACACTAAAGACAAAATGTCTACCAAAATATTTTTTCGTCCAAGGCCATTGGCCAGTTGAATCCACCACTCGGTACGACGTATTT